ATGTCGCCATCATTCAAGCTGTAATTATTCTGTCATATTAACTTGTATTGATGATGTCAGATAATTAATTAAAATTACTAATAAACTTTAATAAATAGGTGTATTTTTATTTTTTCTAAAGTGCACTCCAGCAGATTAAATCATAACTCGGGGAGCAGCTAATGGGGTGTACAAGGAGAGAATCTGAAATGAATAAGACGAGTAAAAAACAATATGCCCAGTCTCTCATAGTTCTGCAAGCTCTGCACACAAAAATAAGCCATGATTGAAAAAAGTGAACACACAAAACACTGCGCTAGTCACACCCACTTGAAATTTGTAGATTTTCTTACAATACTGATTCATGTTTGAATCACCAATTATTGTCTGACTGTTGGACCCCAGTGAGGCACACAGCAGATTATTTTGTTCATCCCTTTTATCCCTTTCAGATGTAGAAACCACAACAATGACAATTTTTACGTTATTTTTGGATGTTTTTCTTTTTGATCCTGATTTTGTTGCCATAAAACTTTAAATTCCTGTCAAAAATGGTAATAACTGCGAGGAAATTATGAATATATTTAAAATTTATTTAAAAAATGTTTGAATTGTTTCAGCAGAGACTTCAGATATCTAAGGATGTCTTTTTTTAATGTGTCGCTAATGCAAATGTTTTCAACACACCCATACATACAATAAATGTGTTAATTTTAAACAGTAGATGGGCCTCATATACAATTGTGAAAGAGGTGAAAGCAGCACATTGTAGCAAAGTCCCAGACTGCTGAGAAGAAAAGAAAAACGGGAGGGAAAAAAAGGCAGAAAAATGATAAAGACAAACCAAGAGGAGGGTATTATTTCTATTTTTGAACATAAAAGAACATTTGAATAGGGTTCTTGGAAAATAAAACAACCAGAGGGAACAAAGAGGACTTAAAAAAAAGATGAAAAGATTGGCGGCTACTAGAAAGTGATGTGGGGGGGTGGGAGGAAGATGAAGGAGGTAGGGAGGAATATATTTACCTTGACTGATGCTGCGACAGGGAGAGAAGCCCCCCCCCCCCCCAACACACACACACATACACACATCCTGCTTCAAGATATTGTTGCTCCATAACATCATGCGACATCATATCTGCAGTGGTTTGCTGAGCATTATGCGCACACTTAATCACACACACAGCCAACATCACACAGGTATGTGTGTGCAGGTAAGACGTGTTTGTACTTCAGAATAAATAAAACATCAATCTGCTGCAACTTCACACAGATCTGCTGCAATAATTTATGAACCGAAAAAGAAAAAAAGGACAAATCTTAAAACTGCAGGTTTTACACACCAAAACACTGAATTCAAACAAAGACAATGAAGGGATGGAGATGTATAAGAAGATCAATAAAGTCTAAAGGGTGGAGATACTCTGACATTTGCATTTAGTGAAAAGGATCAATAGAGACCTGTACAAATGATGGTGATTAGGACCACCCTCCCCTTCCTCTGTTTAACATCTTACTGACATTAAAGCTTTTCTGTTTGCTGCAGAACAATGATTCAGTTCTTCTGAGACTCTGCTGAGAATTTTACAGCTGAAGTGRAAATTAGTACGGCTTTGTTCTGTTCTTCATGTTTGGGTTAGGGTTCACAGTTTGTTAATAACATGACCATTTCTATATTTTCCTTTGTTGTAGTAAGTTGCTGCTATGGGCGACAGCATCATCTCTCATATAGGATAAAAATGCACAATGAATGTAAAGTATTTGTAGGGATGTAATTGTCTTAGTGACAGCACCATGTCGCCCTCTAGTGGTGGAGATGAAGAGATGCATTTTCCTTAAGGAGGAAACACCAGAGGTAAGTTTAAACAATAAACTAACACAACAGAGTTAAAATAAGGAATTTAATAAAATTATACTTGGTTATTGTTAATCCAACAGAGGTCTGACCTCTTTAATTGGGGGCGAGTGGTGGCGCAGAGGTTAGAGAATGTGACCCTGTGATCGGAAGACCGCTGGCTCAACTCCCCAGACTGACCAGCCCCACCCTGGGCCACTGAGCAAGGCCCTTAACCCCTTAGCACCTCAAAAATTGCAGCCCACTGCTCCACATGTGTGTGCTCAGTGCTCACATGTGCGATGGGTGAAAAGAAGAGAATTCTTAAATTTCATCAATAAAGTATCAATATATCTGATTTAGCCCTAGATTAAAATCAACTAGTAAATTGAACTGACCCACCTGACTCAACTCGACAAGAAGCATCAACGTACTCTATTATGCCTGATCAAGCAAGTTTATCAGACAAGTTGGATTTAAACTTGAGGAAATGTGTGAGTGACCTGAAGCCAAAGAGCACTCACTTAGCAATTGGACAACCGGCGGATCCAGGGGTCTTCTTCCTCTCATCGAAAAACACCTCTAGGTAGACCCGGTCGTAAAACACCCCATTTTATCTGAAGACTTAAAGGCACAGTGTGTAGGATTTTGTCAATTCTTTTAGCCGAAATTGAGATAATCACTAATGACAATAATAAAAAACATGTCTAATCATTGCAGACAAAGACTTGTTTTATTATTTTTACCTTTATAAAAAGCTGTTTATATCTCCATGGTCGCAGGTCGCCACACAGGCAGCCGCCATCTTGTCTACGAAGGCTCATGAAGGACAAACTGCGGTGGCGGTGTCAAAAACAGTTTTAGTTGTAATACTATAAATGTAATATTTGTTGTCTGTCATTGTAGCTGGGATAATTTTACTTATTAAAGCTCATAATCTTACCACTTGAAACATCACTAGCCCTGAAGCTGCTGGTAGACATCGTGGTTGGAATGATCAAAGGTTTTTGACACCTGAGAGACACCGTAGAAACTCCTTTGTACATGGAAGCAGGGGGTGGGGGTGGGGGGAGGACCAGGGAGGATGATTCAACCACTCAACCACTAGATGTCACTGAAAACAACAAATCCTACACACTGTGCCTTTAAAACTGGTTAATACTTCAGTTTATACTGGTTTATACTGAAACGGCGGCTCAGTGATTATGTCATTATGGATCTTACTGAATGTTTATAACCAAATAGAAGATGCAGAGAATGATCATCACAATCCCTCTTACAGTGCTTCCAATGTAGCAAACGTAGCATACAGCTAAGCACATAAATGACATTAAGCAGAACACAACAGTTTTTTTTTTTCATTCTACGATGCAACAGATGTTTGAAGAGGCTCGTTGTTGATTAAGGAGTCGTCGGATACGGATATATATATATATATATATATATATATATATATATATAGCTTTCTTGATAACAGTGGAGATAGAAAGACGATTGCATCGATGGTTGCACTTTCCATCGTGCTAATTTAACAACTGGCTTCTGGGAACTGACCATTTTCAGCAAAATGATATGCAGAGGAGTGCACATCTTTGTATAAACAAAGGTCCACAAAGTTCTGACCAGTCAGACCCTGCACACCTCAAAGGTCATCAGTATAGAGTTCTGAATGTGGGTGATGTACAAGACACGGTGTCAACAGACAGAAGTTACACATTTTTGGTCAGGCAGGACTGTAAGCAAGGGGCAACTTTGAACCCATAAATGACTTCAGCTTGTGTGTTATATTGTGTACCACATAAATGACCACCTGACTAGATTTGTTTATGATTGTGAAATGTTCCTAAGAACCTTATGGATGACATTAGTAACTTATTTTTTTCATTGGTTAATCTTTGAGTGTCACTCCCCTGTGTAAGTGTTGACCAATTAAATGTGTCTAATTTAATTTTAAAAAGCTAAAAAAAAACTATGTTGCCTGGAGACAACATGGTGCCATAGAGGGTTAATGCAAAGTACTCTGTTTCAACATCAGTAAAAAAGTAAATTAGCAGTGGGGCTATTTGAGCTCACTGCTTCATGTTTGTTTAAACCAGGGCTGTCAAACTTATTGTCACTGAGGGCCACATGAGCATTACGGTTTCCTCTAAAGGCCAGTTGTAACAAACTTCAACGTTTTTGTGTTTAACTTTCACGTAACACAAAATGTCACATTCCTCGTCTCAGCTGAACTCTGCTAACAAACTCTAACTGAGCTCTCCATGGTATTTCATTTGTGTGAACAGTGTTTTTACACATCCTCCTATAAACACTGAAAATACTACATGTACGATGGACTAAATGTGAAATAAATAATACAGAAATACTATTAAAAGGAAGAGTAAGAGTTTTACATTTTTATCCCATTTCCTGACAGGGAAATCCAACTAGAGGGGTTCCAGTTTAAATTGATGACTTTTAAGTGGAAAGATCCCATTTACCAGTACAAATGGGCTGCATCAAATGCAGCCAGAGAAAATGTATCGAAATAGAGGTGGGATGTCATCACTGTGTGGGTAAAATAATCAACATGCATTATGGGAGATGTAGTTCATGGTCAATGCTGGCTTTAAAATAGCAAACATTTTAAAGACATGAATATCTTTGAAGCTCATGTGGGCCACATAAAATGCTGTGGCAAACCACATGTGGCCATGAGCCTTGAGTTTGACACATAGTTTGTCAATCCTCCAAATCCATATTAGTCTGTACACAAAGTTTTTTTTTTTGAGAGTTCAGAAATCCCAAAAATATTTCTCTACACAAAGATGTGTCCACTTGGCATGCAAGTGACACTACAGTGAACATTTCTACCTCCAACATGTCAGAGTTCCTGTATTTTGCTCTGTTTTCTTCCACTAATCACTTTAATAATAGGTCGAGTGTGAGCTGGCAGTTCTGACATCTGTCAGTCATGGCAGCTGATTAGACTTCAACATATTCATGGTAAGGTGTACAGTGACTCTTATTACTGATTATTACAAAAATACATTATTCTTGAGCCTTATAGAAAAAGTTATATGCTAGAACTTCATGTGTTATTAATAAATGCAGGGTGTTACAGTGGATGAAAGAGAAACTGTTGTTTTTTGTCTGGTTTTTCACCTTAATCAAAGCAAAAATTTCAAACTTGCTTGTTTTGGTTGAAAATGTTTTATTTAGATGTAAATATTTCGATCATCAGGTTATTGAATATTGGTGAATAATACATTTTTCACGTGACCCTAGAAATATAAATCTCACACAACTACATGATAAACTACATAGTGTATATGAAAGAAAGGTGCAGATCGAGGGGGGTGGTCTCCGTTATAATGCCAGCTCGAGCCCAGCTTCATCACCACGGGAACCTGGAAGGTCATGGGTCAACTCGTTTGCTCCCTCCAAGCTGTCGTCTGACAGATGTGCAGGCCCATTGACCTTTTCCTCATCGGCCTCAACATCATTGCCTGTTTCTGCTTCTTCATTGGCTCCGCCCACATGATCCATAGACACGCCCCCTTCCACGAACTCCTCACCCATATTAGGAATCTGAGTCGATGTTTCGTTTAGACTCAGGAGGGGATGGTAAGTGTGCAAAACAGCCTGGGGGTGGAGTCAAAATAGACATTTAATTAAGTGGACGGGTTTGTTGATGAAGAGGAGGAGTTTGATTGGATGACATGATACTGTGTCACCTTGTCTTGATCGTCCTCATCCTCATCGTGTCCTTCTCCATCTCCAATGGCCTTCTGTCCCAGTAGAACCAGTTCACTGAGCTGCAGGTTGGTGCTTGTCTGGCTCGTCGGCACCAGAACCTCTGAGCTCTGACACACAGATACATTTACAGTATTGTCAATACTCACTTAAACTTTATTTAAAGTAAAAACTCAGATGGCTCACCTCCTGAAACAGGTCCACCTGCTCCCCAGCCTGCAGGAAATAACATAATTATGGAAACGACATGACATCACTGAGAAAGTCCCTCATTTTTGTATTTTAAACAAAAATATAGACCAGAAGGTGGAAGTTAGAACAAGAGTCCTGTCAGGGGCCAATAAACTAGAATGTATATGTGTATGTACAGTATGTGAGGGCAGGTATTGCCTAGTATGTGGGACCCATTATTTGGATACACGCCTACTTGTAGAGATTATTTGCCGCTTGTGTGGACCTAAGTCTGGTCCCCATGGAGGCAAATGCCATTGAGGGTTTGGTATGTACTAAGGTAGTTCGGTTCAGGGTTTGGTATCTACTGGGGTGGTTGGGGTTAGGGTTTGGTATCTACTAGGGTGGTTGGGTTTAGGGTTTTGTTTGTACTGGAGTGGTTGGGTTTAGGGTTTTGTATGTACTGGGGTGGTTGGGTTTAGGATTTAGTATCTACTGGGGTGGTTGGGGTTAGGGTTTGGTATCTACTGGGGTGGTTGGGGTTAGGGTTTGGTATCAACTGCGGTGGTTGGGTTTAGGGTTTGGTATCTACTGGGATGGTTGGGTTTAGGGTTTGGCCTGTTCTGGGGTGGTTGGGTTTAGGGTTTGGTATCTACTGGGATGTTTGGGTTTAGGGTTTGGCCTGTTCTGGGGTGGTTGGGTTTAGGGTTTGGTATCTACTGGGGGTGGTTGGGTTTAGGGTAAGCAGTGGTGGAGCCAGAAAAATTTTGTAGGGGTGGCCAGACTGGAACCATTGTTCACACAGATGGGGACAAAATCTCGATCCCCATTGGGAGAAATACCCATGGCGGATCAGAGGTGAATTGAATTTAGGCTTAGGGTTTGGTGTGTACTGGGGTGGTTGGGTTTAGGGTAAGGGGTCAGGGCTAGACTATAGAAATGGCCGGTAAATGAATGGAAATCAATGCAAAGTCCCCAAGAGGATAGAAGAACAAAAATGTGTGTATTTACCGTGTTTTCCAGCCTTTGGGGTTCTTTCAGAAGTTGAACATCCTATAAGAAATAGTGAGTTTAGTTCTCTTTGCTAAATTCAGCTCATTTTCCCAGTGTCAGTTTAAAAAGTGCAGTTTATCCAGTGTCCACCAGAGGAAGCTGTGAAACCCGATTCTTCATCAGAGAAACTGATAAAGAGGACATTAAATCTAATCTCTGTAATCTTTTTTCTCACCACAGCATGGACGAACAGAGATCTGAGCTCCCAGCAGTCAACTTTTCCTTTACCAGACAATTATAGAAAATTTGTCTTTGCAAATACTGAATGTCATTTTGCTGCTCAATAACCTGCAACATTTGATTGAAATGTGGGGATTCTATCAGTTCACCTCTTCATTTAACATTTTCTTTCACCAGAATGCTCGACTGCATGACCAGATCTTATCAACAACATTTTAATAAATGAGGATTTGGTTTGAACGTGCTGTGTGTCATTTCTGACCTCTGAAGTCTGGCTGGACTCAGATGACTCTGATGATGAGGAAGAGGATGAAGACGAGGAGGAGCTCTGCTGAGCGCCACCAGGAGAGGGAGTAACCTGCAGAGACACAACACTGCTGGTGTAAACAGAAAATAAGAACTGAACTGGTCAGAGTTTTTAACATTTAATTCTGAGAGGACAGATGAGCTAACAGCTAGTTTGAGCAGGGCCAGGATCAAAGTGCAGTACAATTACATAGTGCTATTTTAAAATCACATTTTTAACACTACTTGTGGGAAGGAATATCATATTTCTGCTTGATTAATGTATAATTTAAATTTGACAAGGATGTAAAATTTTACAGGATGAATTAGAAACACGTGAGACTGGAGTAAGTTCAGACTCGTTACCTGATCAGTTTGATCAGAATTAAACTTTATTTCTCCAAATCCCTCAAAAAGCTGTTCATAATAGATAAGATAGTAATAGATGGTAATTCTTCAGAATCTTTCCTCAGAGCCCCATTACAAAAGATCCCAACCATCCCTTTAATTTAGAAACCCACAGAGGATTGGACGGTAACTCCTACCCTGTTAAAGGCTTCCTGTTTGGTTTCAAATTGAGCCGCTCAGCTCCCCACACACTCTCTCGGGTATTTGTGTCCTATTTGGAAACTTTATCTCTGTTCATATTTTCAGCAGACAGCCTCTCCTTCAAACTGAATCATCTGAAGATCGACATTAAATTGAGATYAAAATAAATCAACTTTTTGAGTCACATCCTCTTAAACATCTGTTTAAAAAAACGTTACCTCAGCTCTCACAAATATATCGTAGACTTTTTTATTCTGTTTGATGACATCAACGGCCAAATTAGTGTTATCACAAGGCCACACTTGGCCCTTGGATCGTATTTTTACCCAGGTGTGACGTGAACGTTTTGATTTTTTAAAATTAATTTCTTTTTTGGGTAAAAAATAAAAATTAATYAATAAATAATTTTATAAAAACCCAAACCTCATCAGGATATAAATAAGTTTAGCTGTTTAAAGGGGTCAAACTCACGGCTGTTTGGGCCATCTGTTGCTGCAGGATGAGCTGAAGGCCTCCATGTCTTCCTGGAAGCTGCGCTCACACAGACACACACAAACACACACAGACACACATGCACACACACGCTACTGATCAGCTTCAYGTCTGATAAATCCATCAGTTGGGAGATAAGGGTCCATTCTTACCAGTGCAGCCTGGTTCAGAGCCAGCAGGCTGACGATGGCCAGAAACCTCCACATCCTGGTTCTGAACTGGGAGCAGCTGATCGGTCCTGGTTCTGAAAGGAATCCTGCAGGTTCTGAATGGACCTGGCCTGATTCAGGTCTCTTATTGTGTGACTAACAGGAAGTTTGCTGTCATCATGTGACCCTCTGTCTCTGCCCCCCTCCTACTGACAACCCACCCATCAACCAGAACAACACAAACAACAACAGGCTGATTTACAGGCTGTGTCTGGGTTCTGGTTCTGGCCCAAGTCTTTTTGTTCATCATCATCACACAGTCTGAGAGTCAGTCAGGACTTATTGTTCATCATGATTATGTTAAAGTAGACCACGGGCTGCTCTCAGACCAGCTTCGATCCGGCAGGAGAGTCTGCAGAGTGTTAGAAGTCCAGACTCCTGGTCCTGTTTGGATGAGATCCACCTTCATCAGGATCCAGATGGATCACAGTTTTATACTGACAGCTCTGTCCAGCACMCTGCTGGGACTTATTTTAAATGTTGCTGTGGTTGTGTCATAAAATGTTTTTGCTCCAACGGAGCTGCATGGATTTTAAAGAGAAAATCTTTTGAWGTGGGGTTTTTTTTTGTCAAATGTTTAGTTTATTTCACATCTTTTTTGTCATTACACTATTATTGAATTACAAATACAATAGCTGCAGAAGCTAGCAGGTGCTGCCAATCAGGACAAATAATCTACAGGTACCACTTTACAATAAGGCTCCCCTTATAGATGGCTTATAAATAGTTTATAAATAGGTTAATACATCTGTAAACAATGTATAAATCAATAATAAGTGTTTACTATGCATGAATTGAGGATGAGAAAGAGACAAAACTGTCCAGTTTCTTGCCAAATAGTGAGCTAAATGTGTTCATGTACATATTACATCTAAAAGGTGCTTATTAAACATTTCAGACTAGGTTACTACCTTGTATAAAAAATAATGATTAGGAAACACAGATTTTATATATAATAATGTATTGTATTACTACAATATATATCCACAACTATCAAAGGGAGCCTTATTGTAAAGTGAAAGACAGTCTACTATTTATTAAAGACTAATATACAGCCTCATAAATAGTGTCCTGTTTTACACTTTACAATTGCACTTCCTTATGGCATTCATACATGTTTATTAGTCATTAATAAATAGTGAACTGTCTTACACTTTAATAAAGCACCTTTAGATRTAATATGCACATGAACACATGTCACAGCAACATTTTTATCCATTTTAGATTATGGAGACTTGTTATAYGCCTCAGCACAATATCTTAAAAAATTGATGCTATCTATCATGCTTCTCTGAGGTTTGTTTAAAGCCTCAACTCATTATTGTGATCTGTACACTCGAGTGGGATGGCCTTCTTTGGTACACTTTTATTTATAAGGCATTGCTTGGGCTGCTACCATCTTACATCTGTGATCCAATCACGTGAAAAAACATTGATTCACACTCMTTGCRTTCAAATGATAATTTCTTGCTCTCTGTCCCATTTCTCTGTACAGAATTGGGGAAAAGGACCTTTGTTTACTCTGCTCCRTCTACATRGAAYATGTTGCAAAAAGTCTGGAAGTTACCTGAACTGATCCCATTGAGCACATTCAAGTCCAGATTAATTAAGGGCATTAGAGATGACTTCCTTGAATTGTGAATGTTTTAATAGTGACTTTTTGTATTGTGTTTTAATTGTGTAACTCTATGTAAATGTATACTTTTTGCTGCCTCTTGGCCAGGACTCCATTGAAAAAGAGGGGTTTAATCTCAATGGGACTTTCCTGGTTAAATAAAGGAAATAAATAACAGATTTGGCTCATTTGGCAAGAAACCAAACAATTTTGTCTCTTTCTCGTCCTTAATTAATACATAATAAACACTTAATAATGATTTATAAAGTGTTTACAGATGAATTAATAACATACCTATAAACTATTTATAAAGCCATCTATAAAGGGAGCCTTATTGTAAAGTGGTACCAATCTACCAACTACAAAATGGCTTACTTTGTGGGCTACATTTCTATATTCACCCCTTTGCTTTAAAGCCCCAACCATTGTGATCACAAGCCACTTCATTAGTTCATTAAGATCCACCTGTAGCTGATCTAAGGGTGTACTCACACCTGACACATTTGGTCCAMTTTAAACAGACTAGAGTTCATTTCCCCCGTTGGTCCGGATCTTTTATGCAGGTATGAATACATTTATGTGAACCCAGGTGTGGACTAAACAACTGGACCGAGACCCACTTTTTGAGGTGGTCTCCGTGCGTTTGCAAATTAACTCTGGTGCGGTTCACCTCTGGTGTGATACAGACCGGCCTCAACACGAACTAACTACGGAAACATGCAGCTTTTTGGACTTCACAAGCCACCAATGCCAAGCAACATGATAAAAAATAGCCCTTTAGGATTGCTAACGCTATCACTACGCTGCAAACAATGAATTGTTGTGTTTCTCCTCGATATTTAGACAGATGCACACATAATGGACATAACACACGTAGCTCGAAGGACTTCCATAATTCTAGAAAATAAATTTAAAAAATAAAAAATTCCATCTTTCTTTCCCAGTTTGTGCTCTGCTTCACCCCCATCATTCCTGTCCAATGAAAGCTATGATCTTCAGCTGTGTGGCTTTATTAATAATATATAGTCTACTTGCAATAAAGCACAATGTGAATGCAAACYCCATCTAATGAGAAAAAAAAATTCTATCGGTCCAGACCAAACAAGTAGACCAAAGGACTTTTCTGGCATGAATACACCAAGTGTAGACATAYGAAAAACAAGCTGATCATGTTGAAGGTAATGTCCTGTAGTTTTATATGTTCTGTTCATGTCCRATCTGTCTGCCCCTGGCTGCTAACGGATCATTTATTTGCTAAATTTAGCCTTACAAATAGATATTAAGTAGAAAAAAAYACTATTGGACACATTGGGTCCTGTCAGATCTAACGTTTTCAGTGGTTGTATCAACGGGCAGTGTGGAATTATTTCTGCCCCAATGAGACTCTATTAGTTCTGATATCTACCAATACGTTGATWTGATAAATGTGAAAAATGTGATAAATTATATGACAAATCTACTGACCAACATAGGTGATGAACTGTCTCGATCCAAAAACTGAGTATGTATCACTGAACAAAATTCATAGGAATTATTAGGAGGAAGTATTTTTTTTACTTTTTATTTTTAGATAAGGCCCACCTGCCTTCATTCATCTACCACATCTAAAGAGCTACCTAAAAAAAGGTATGATATTAATTGTTAAAACCGCAGAATTCCAGTTCAAATTATTTGCCTWCTTGGTTTGACTTTCCAACAGTTTGTCACATTTTCACACACTGAAGCACAGATCAGTGKACTGCTCGTCAGCTTTCGGGTATAATTATAACTCTAGAGCTGTATAATTAGTATGAATCACACTTAGAGATAGCTCCAACTACTTCAGCTAAAGATTTCTGAAAACAAACTGGACGCTCATTGCAAATTGTCCCAATCCTGCTCCTCTAAGTCATAATGACCAAATCTGCTGTCACCACAGGATGGCATGCAGAGCAGAAGGTGTCCACACTGAACATATTTTTTGACAGACTGTTTGTCAGAGTCAGATTGATGGAGCTGTGGTGAACCAAACAACACAACAAGCTCACAGTAAACACATTTCACAACCAACAGGATTTACTGCCACACATACAGAGATCCACAGACACAACAATGGAGCTGAGGTGTTCATCGGGATAAATTTAGATACATTCATAGAGGTCATCCCCCCCTCATAGGGGTCATCATTGAACACGTTGCAGACCTCCGGTAACTACTGTATGTCCAAATTTCCAGGCATKTTAATCAGATAATTAAGAATGRATGCCATGTTTGTAGCCWGCCATTTAATCTGCTYRTCTGTCCATCCAGTCTTCACATAAYACAAGCCGGGCAGGCTTTATCCATTACGCACAAGCTTATTTTTAAAGCTAACCAGTTTGCTATGGAGAATATAGACTTAGTGTGTTTAAAAAAAACAAGCGCTACAGAACAGTGAAATGAACAGGTTCGGGTGTGGAACTCCAGTCCAGGGTCACTATCTAGCATGTTTTCCTTGTTTCTTTTCTCAAACACACCTGATTTGTGTGAATGGATGATTAACAGGCTTCAACAGAATTTGAGAGAGTGTTGGCACGATTTACCAAGAATGCAGAAACACGTTGGAATAAATGCACAGAAAGTCTGCGTGTATGGTCGTCAAATGATTTAATTTGAGCAACAACAGAGCAGAAGTCAATCAGAGAAGTCTGTTGAGTTGTGGCTGCTGCCTCGGCTCAGAGCAGCCGATAATATAACATCCTGTGACATGCTTACAACCAATCACAGTTCACCAACTGTGAACCATCTAACCAATGACAGGATTGTCAGCCTGGAAACACCTTATCAAAATAAAGAGGTCATGCATTGCTGGAGCCTTGAAGTCTAGGGCCGATAGAGTAAAACAGCCCAAACTAGTTATCATAAGATATGAGTACTGGACAGTGTCAAGTAGAACAGATATACATAATTAGTCCATAACAAAGAGCTTACTCAATCAGGTGTGTTGGAATAGAGAAACAAGGAAAACGTGCAGGATAGTGGCCCCCTAAAATTGGCATCCCTGGGGTCATCATTACATAAGGAAAACGCAAACCGGTAGTGTTTTTGCCATACAGCCATGCATGCCTTTGGCCACAACCAATGAACTCACATATGGAATTTGCCTGGTTAAATAAAGGCAAAAAAAACTAAAATAACAAAGGGGAAAAACTATGCTTGAGACAGTTTTCTAGCAAAATAGTTTCTGTCAGTTTGTCTTTCATGTGAGACTCCTGGTAGTTTGGAGGTCTCCTCATTTTTCTGCTCATTTAAGATGTCTGTGAGGTGATTTTTGGACCGTTTCACTTTAAAGCAGCAGGTTTAGTCTGGAGATGCTGGGCCGGCATCAGGTCAAACCGGTTTCACTGATAACGCTGCAGGTTTACGTGTGTACGCTGAGCTGAAACATGAGAAGAGTGAACGAGTTCAGACTCCTTGCGTTTGTTTGTGGTCGCAGCAGCTCAGCCTTCAGTGTTTCACCACCGTCAGTGTCTCTATTTCTGAATATGTGTGTTGGATGTG